CCAGTCTTGTAGTATACAGTATCTGGGAGATAATGTAACATTTAAGCTTGAGATACAAAAAGACAAAACAAATGGCAACACATCCACAAAAATTAAACGAAGGTAGAAAAAGTCATCACCATAACTTTGAATAAAAAATTTCTTCAAGAAGTTGAGTACCAATGGTTCTGTACAAGTCATAAGAGCTACTTGTGACAAGATTACTATTCAACAGTGTACATGTAATTTCTAATCTCCATAAACACTGGCCTCTCCATTAGGAACTAACAAGGCCACATGGTTCCTTTGGGTTGTAGAGTTACAAACTGGTCTGTAAATACCTTCAGGTCTCACACCCAATTTTTCTTCTCTTTGCTCATTTTCCTTTTCATGTCTTTGCTGCTTAATTTCTCTCCTTTTCTGCTCAACATCTTTCCCTTTCTCAACTTTCTCGGGAGTTGTTTTCTTTATAACATCTTTCACTCTTTTTGTTAGAGATTCTCCATGCTCCTCCGTAGTTTTTGCTTCATTTGCATGACTGTTATCATTCTCCTGAAGTCTTGAAAAAAAATTGTATTATGATTAAAGAAACAGTAGCACCTCTTGCATGTTGTTACTAGACAGCTCCAGATTATACAGAAGTCTTATGATCATCAACACTTGGTGCTGGTGTTAATCCTTTAACCCCTAAAAGTGATTAACAAGTAACTTCTCCCTCTAATACCCATACATTTTCAGCAAACAAGCAATAAGAAAACTCAAACTCATCAGGTAGAAGTTGTTATCAAGATGTGCATCAAATTCTCCTAATTAATTTACAAGGAGATGTGTTGCAGCTACAGAGGAGAATTGAAAATTACATCATGGGAGTTAAAGGGTTTATTCTAAACTCTTTTTCTCTTATTCCATGATCACATTCATAAGTCTCTTTATTGACTACCATAAAATTCCTACGAAGTTAGTTCAGAGAATTTGGTATTGGAACAACTAAATTTCCTGGCTTGTAACTGATATTATATTTTTCTTTGTTCTCGTCACTTGTCTGCTGAATAATGTGTTGATACTGTCAGGACAAATTCTGTCTGGGTCACCCATGGGAGTTAGTCATGACTGTGTTTACACCCTTGCATGAGTATGTGAATTCTCTATACTGTCCTTTATACATTTCCGAATTACTGACAAGGAGAATTTGTTTAACAATCAAGAACATTTTAACCCAAGGCTCTCTCCCTTTATTCTCTTGACTGGGAAGTAAATTCAGTGATAATAGTGTTAAATGAAATTAGATGTTAGTCACTCTTGAGGGCTAGAGGGTTAAAATGTAGAGATAATTTCAGGTTGCCATGGCACACAACTAGCTCATGTTCATAGTTACATGTAATTTGTTTTCAAAACACCAAGTTAGAATGCTACAGTGTTTTGGCTGAAATCTCAGTTATGCATGCAAATGAGAACTTTTTTCTGTGTTCTTTTTCTCTGGAATTACAATCATTAGACACTGCAGTACAAGCAGTATGATTACAATGTGCAAGTTTACAGTTCACACAAGACTTACTTATCTTCAGCTTCATCTCTTTCAACTCTGATGTATGTATGATCATAAACTTTGGGACTGCTTTGCCCAACAGGTGTATCTATCAGATAAATTCAAAATTGACAGTTCATTGCCTCTAGATGTATGTACCAGAAATGTGATGCCTTTGACAGTGATTGCTATCATAACAAAATAATGCAAAAGTATATTTATCACAAGAGCACAGCACAGGATGAGCTTAAAGCTGCAACTACTTTTCCATTGTAAGTGGATTGTATACTGTTTCCTGTTATTATTATTATATTAACTTGGTTCTACCAAGATTCATAAAGTACTTGCACATCTGAGTGACAATCAGATTGCAAGGATCACAGAGTGGTTTTGAATGGATATAATTAACGATCAATCACTACAATTACCTGTTGCATGAACTGCAACCAGAAGTCCCCTTGTTCTACTAAGTTCCTCTTTGGTAAGGTTAGCACCCTGAGTATGTTAAAAAAAAAAAAAAAGAAATTAGTTGATTTTACATGTTGTATCATAATGATGATCTGGCTGAATCTTTGCCCGTATAACCTCTAAAGATGATTTATTAGATAAGTGTAAAAAAAGGTAAGGGCGTCTTTTAGAAACTCTTAACAGTGGCCAATTTACATTCTAACAAAAACAATGACTTTATTGATTCCGTCCATTAATGTTTTTTCATAAACCATTACTGACAATGAGATGTAAATACGTAATAACAGAATGCAAAAATGTAAGCACTATAAGGAAAATCATAGATAGTGGATAATGTTAAATACGCTTACAATCTATCGACAAAATTAAATTATTAACTTGCATCAATACACCAAACATTCCAGAAAAATAATATCATTTTCAACACTATGGTGAAGGGAAATTCCCTATATCAAGTTAAAAAGACCTACGGTTATCCGCAGACCCTAAACCACTAATTTAAAAAAACACGGCGGAAATCTGTTAGGTAGAAAGTGAAGGTTTAGTTTTGTTATGACGTTCTCGGCCGACGAATATTGTGAAAGCAAAGATCTCTTGTCGAGTGGAAAACGCTTCAAGTCGAGTCACGTGAAAAGTAACATTGAAAGTAAAACTCACTTTTCTGATCTTCACAACATGGATACCATTGCAGATACTATCTAGTTCTTTCTCTACGGCTTTATGAACTTTTACACTTCTTGACCAAACACCAAAGCATTTTTCGACCAAATCTGGCCTTCCATTGCGACTGGAATTTCGTTTTCTATGATTTCTGTCGTCGTCACTCGCCATATTCACGCACTGCAAACAAGTAGAAAACAAGTGAAAGAACCTGGAAACCACTTTCGCCGTGGCGAGGGTACTGGGGTGAGTTATCAGAAATAAATTTTATTTTAAGTTTTTTAGCATACTTTTCCTATCAAAAAAAAATATTTTTAAAATTTTGTTTTAAGAATAAAGAATTTAAAAATAATTCTAGATTAACAGCCTCATTGCTGGTGAAGAATTTGCTTGTCATTTGGAACTACCCCCTCCCCCACATACCCTTTCCTATTACCCAGTTCCCCCCAGATTCCAAGATGTCGGTGCTAAACACTTTGATATTAGAGGGGAAAGTTGCACTTTCCTATTTCATTGCTTGCACTCTCTTAGTTTTAACTCTATTTCAAAGCTGTAGTCTCACGGAAATATGGAGTATCGCCACGAGAGGCATAATTCTTGGATTGACCATGTGTGCGACTTGTTTCGTTCCATATTCTTCTGTTGCCAAGAGAGCTGCCCTGTTAGGTAAGCATATAGGAATTTATAACAACTGTTAAGATTGTTGTTCCAACGAAAATTTCTTAAGTGTTACCGGCATCATTTTTTTTTGCTAAAATAATTTTTTATTTCGATCTAATCGAGCGCGTCTTTGCGAAAATGAGACAACTGAGATAGACTTATGGTGGTTTATTTGCGGTTGGCGTTTCATTTTGTACGTGACACGACTTTTGTTGGCAAACTAGGAAAGTGGAGAGCTACTCTCTTGTGGCATAGATAAAACATATCAAAGGAGAAGTTGATGGCCAGGTTAAATTACTTTTTAAGTTCCTAACCGAGGCCACAAATTGCTCTATAGACGTCATTCGATATCAATAACCAAATGGGTCTACTTTCGTCTAATATTCAATGCTGTGCAACATTTTTCATAAATTTTGAATTCGCTATTGTTACAAAATGTTTCAAATTGTTGAATTATATTATTAATTATGCGCGCTATTTGATTGGTCTTTACTTATGATATACTGGGGGACAGATGCATAGATACTGTCACTGCAAACAGCATTTTGCTTCCTTGCTATATAAACCAAATAGATTCCATGTAGCCAATTGTCGGTACAGCAATAGATCACAGATGATATCCAAATTTGGTTAGATAATCAGAGACACACTCGGCTGCTTTTCATGTCCTTTTTTTTAGTCCTTACTGTATTTTGATATCATTTGTGATCTATTGCTGAACAGATGCATAGCGACATGGAATCTATTTGTTAACCCTTTACAACCTAACATCAGTATGGATATTCTCCATACTGTTCTCCATACACTTCCAAAGAGACTGACAAGGAGAATTTGTTTAACAATTAAGAGCTGCTTTAAATAGTTGGTAATCATCTCCTGTATTCTCATGACTTTCATGTGTGATTCAGGGGTGAAGAGAAAACTAGATGCTAATCACTCTAACTTAGGGTTTAAAGGGTTAAGGTGATATCAGAGTCTTCATGAAGAACTCAAATTTTTCTTCACTTATACTCACAAATGCTATTTTATATATTTTGACCCAAAGGTATCATTTTTGGAATTGCCATTCTCCTAAGCTTGGGTGAAACATTCTGGAAATATTTTGGCTGGTACCTAGCTTCATTATCATTCTTTCACCTCTCTGAATATGTCATGGTGGCATGTTATTCTCCAGATAAGCTATCTGTGGATTCATTTCTGCTGAATCACAGTCCAGAATATCAAATTGCTGCTGTTGCAAGTTGGATTGAATTTGGTGTAGAACTGTGGCTTTTCCCTTCCATGAAGAACATGTTCGTTGCAAGCTCCATGGGTTTGCTGTGTATGATCGGAGGAGAAACTTTACGAAAGCTTGCCATGATAACAGCTGAATCTAATTTTACCCATATTATTCAGACCAGAAAGGAGAAAAGCCATGTGTTAGTGACACGTGGAATTTATAGTTTATGTCGACATCCAGGGTATGCTGGCTGGTTCTGGTGGAGTTTAGGTAAATGCTACGGTGACCCACAACTGTTACAGCAATAATAAATACCTCACGGCAAAACCAAAAAGCTCACAGCAAAAACCGAAAGACTCATGGCAAAACCAAAAGGCTCACGGAATAATTATCTCATGTTCAGAGAGATTATGAAAATTTGTCTTAGCCTTTCGGTTTTGCTTTGAGATATTTGTTATTGCCATGACAGTTGTGGGCCATCGTGAAATACAGATAAGTTATTGTAAGGCATTAGACACTCACACAGTGATCAATTCAAAGCTTCAACATCCCCCCTCCCCACCCCTCCTGGGTAACCCATAGGTGTTTGAACATCTTCTGTGCCTGGTGGGTGGAGAATTTGAACCTTGTCTGGATGGGGTGGGGAATTTGAACAAGTAGTGTCAAGTCTTTCTAGCTGAAAACAAGTGTTATATCTTCAAATATGGAGATGTTTACTGGTAAGTATTATATACCAGACTTTCACTCAACAAAACAAGCAATGTGATTGTTTGATTCTTGGTCACATGCCCCTGATCAAATTCAAATGTACCCGACCAGGATACAACTGAGCAGTTGTTGCCCACACACATGTGAATAAAGAAGTTGTGCCATCTTTGTCTGTTTGTTTTTGCCATATGATTGTTTTAGGGAAAATCTAATAAAAATAACACAGTACTTAGTGTATGTTCCCTCGGGGAAACTAGTTAGTTTTGTTTTCCCATGAGTCCTGGTGTTTCCCGAGACAAAGTGGAGGGAACATCAGCACTTGAAGGAAAACAAAACTAACTGTTTTCCTCAGGACCGTACATCAAGTGTATAATATTTCACTTTTGCGTGCAAATAGCTCAGAAGAGAGAAGTCTATAAGGTTGCAGATTTTTCCTTTTACAAAAGCATTGGAAGAGGCATTTGATCATAATTTTTCTCCAGCAGGAGTAGGAATTTAAACAAACCAATTTTTAAAGTTCATATACCTATATGGGGGTTGCCTGGGTTGGGGGGATGTTCAAGCTGCTAATTGATCAACCCATTAATTTCCCCTCCCTAGGGTCAAACAGATGATTTTATTTTCCCGAGAGTTCAAGACTCATGGGAAAACAAAACTGACTGTTTTTAGGTTAAAACAAAACTTCTGAAATTTTCATCACTTTGTGATCATATGATAGCATGCTTATTTACTGAGTTTGGTCAGTTAATTATAATGCCCAGACTTCGCTCCTGTTGGTCCATACATCATTTTTTTCCATCCAGTGCTCAGTCAATAAGTACATAATATCTGTTTTTAAAGACAAATTTCTACATGTTTTTCCCAGGAACACAACTCACATTGTGTAATCCCATTTGCCTCATTGGTTACATCTGGGCCTCATGGAGATTTTTCAATGAACGTGTCTATGATGAGGAAATCACATTAATTGATTTCTTTGGAGAAGAGTACTTGGCCTATCAGAAGAAGGTCACATCTGTAGGAGTCCCATTTGTCAAAGGATTTGAATACAATGTGGAGATGGTAAAGAACTCATAGCTGATTGATGGAAGTCACTCTACATGCAACTACAGTAAGCAGAACATTAAAGCTTTTAAAAAGGAGAAGTGAGCTCCAGAAACTTATTATTTATACTTTTACAGTATGAATTGTATATGAACATTTGTGCTTCTATGCACATGAGGCATCTGGCAGAGAATGCCATTTAATTCTGTTGGTTGCCAGTCTGTCAGGCTGCCTCCATCTGGAGCTGTGCTGTGTTCCTCGTTTCCCTTTCTATGGTTGTCCACCAAGTTTCCTCAGATCAGCCTCTCTTTCATTGGCCATCTGGAGAAGGGCCACTCTTGGTAGAGCTGATGGTGACATTCAGAGCGCACACTATCAATCCAGCTCCATCTTCTTCATAGGCCATAAGATTCAAAGAATTCTTTACAACCATTTGTTCTGGAACCCAGGTGAATTTGTTATATCTGTGCATTTAATGCAAACCTAGAAAGGTTTGGTTACTCTTGGGAATCTCAAGAAAATAGTTGTCATATTTTCATCTTTATTTTTCGGATGTGGAGATAAACACTGTAAATTAATTTTATTGGTTTGAGGAGTATGTTTCTCCTCTCATAGGCTAATGCAGATGGTGAACACACATTTTGTGCCAAATTTGTATGATTAATTATTTTTGTTTTTTATGTTGCTGGTCGTACATCCACAAGTTTTAATTTTTTAGATGTAAATAATTAATTCCGTTGATATCATTTACAATAGCCCTAACTTAGAAAACATTAAACAAATTTTTGAGTTGATTTTGAGGGATCAATTTTGTATTGACTATTCAACTTAAATATTAGTATCTATTGAAGAGCAAATCTTAAAGCTACACACAAATTGTTGTGAATGTTTGAGGTTTGTTTTTCTTGTACAAAATTTGCTTTTCCTTAAAACCATATACAACAAAAATGAAGTTGTTTAAATATTTCCAATGGTCACATGTACAGTGTCTAGGCTGCACAGTAATAATATTTAAGGATTCACTTAAACCTATTAAACCTTTAACTCCCAGAAGTGATGAAAATGTCAGTTCTCTCTACAATATCCATGCACTATCCAGCAAACATGTAATAAGAATACTCAATACTCAGGTTTAAGTTGTCATCCTGATCTTACCGTAAATTCTCGTAACTTGTTTACAAGGAAATATGTAGCAGCTAGAGGGGAGAATTAACAATCTGATCTTGGGAGTTAAAGGGTTAAATATTTTTTCTCTTCATTGAATGTCCTCTCTCTGAGGTTGTTTTGTGTTGGCACCAGCCTTTATTTCTTATTTACTTTGTATTTGAGTATGCAATTTCTTCTCATATTAATTATAATTGCGTCTAGAGGTTGACGTCTTTTGCTCTGGATGATAATGTTGAGATTGTATCTTTGGCTTGAGAGGGGATTTGCAAACTTCCCCAGTTGCACAAAAGGAGATTCATGGGGGTGTCGCATAACAGCATCTAGTGAGGGCTTCACATGAGAGCATCACAAAGTAACAAAACTAAAACAAAAATAATAAATGCATGTAGGAAAAAATCTTCTTCTTTATGGGGCAGTCATTATTTATGAGGATTTTTTGGGGGATCACATGGTCTCAGGAGGGAACCAGGGGGAAGGGGGGGTGGCAGGCTTCTCTACCAGGAGGGGGAACTCAGAGAAAATTGACTGCCAATCATATGGGATCATTAGAACACTACAGAGCCTCATGGGTGGGGGGGGGGGGGCTGAGGAAAGTTTAATTGTGACCCACCCCCGTGATAAGTGATGACCAAGTTATTATCTTTGTTATCTTTGCAATAAAACACCAATGCATACATGATATGGCGTCAAGTTCTAATTAAACCAAGCTGGGTTAGTTCCTTTATTTTGTCAAAGTAAAAAATAAACAGTTTCAGCATCAAGCAATTATTTTCCAACATGGTGAGCTGCCTTGAAGACTTGATCTGAACATGCCTAGACCAATGGCCTTGACTTCACGTGCATCTTTTTTTTTCCTCTTCTTTTTAGTGTCTGTTCATCAATTTTTATTCCAGTCGCGATCAGAAAAAAATACCTTAAAAGGAAAAGAGTCAGCATGAATTCTTGATCATAGTTTTTTTCATACTTCTTTTTGGGGAACAAAACCCAGCACACTTTACCTAGCTCTCAACATATAGCTTCGTAGCTTTGTTGATAGCAACCTTTTACACCCTAACATCAGTACACCCTAACATCCGTCGACGCCTAGATTTTTTTCTTTTTGAATGTTTTGCTTTTTGTAGTTCCCAGAATAGGAATTTACTTACGATCTTGAATTCCGATTGTCGTCGCTTATCGTTTACAGGTTAGCGTTAATCACACACGTCTCACGCGTCTAAGAGAGCGAATCGCTCGAAACGTCAGCTTTGAAACTCCTTACGGTGGCCAGTTTACGTTATATACTCATTAGATAATACTAAATATCCCTGTTATACTCTCCCACCGACGCAGCACCACAATTTCTTTACAAACTTACCCCCTTTAAACTATTCGTTAACAACTATTTCTTTCCTCAAAAGCTTGGTATAAAAGAATTTTTACGTTACTGAATATCTTTGGTAAACCTCTTTGGTAAACGTTATTTTGCAAACTGACTCACAAGTCGTCTAAAGACGAAACCGGATTTCTTTGCGTGGAATCATCTCTGATGTAGATTTTTAGGACTGTTGCGTACCTTCGGTTGTAGAGCTCGTTTGCTTTTTTGGCATCTTCTTGTTCTCCATCTTGTACCAACAATACACGGGCTTCGTTTGGGACGTTTTTGAGTGGAGAAGCCAGCTGCCATCTTTCCAGAAAAAATCCATTTATCAGAGGAACATTCAGATTTCTTCACGGAATCGAGAAGAAGCGTGGCGATGAAGAAGTAAAGGATATATATCTTCGTGACGGTCATTGTGCACTGGTTGTTCTGCGTTTGACACGGCCTCTAGGTGCAAAACGTTGTGATGTTGGATTATCTGGTGGAAAGTCGTATTTATACCATGAGTGGAAAAATGGTCGTGTTGTTTAGGCGGATATGCAAACAGTTTAACGTCCGTGATTTGTTGGATAATAGCCTTCTGTAACAACTTCGGAAGTTCGACAGCTATAAAAACCGGAAGTGAAACTGCGAAAACAAACTTTGCGCCCCTTTGTGGAAAAAAGGAAAACAGTCTGAGCGATCCGGAAGTGCGATGGAGGAAAAAAGCACCTTTTTTACTCATAAAAGAAGACGAAGGTAGAGATGAAAAAAAAAATGATATTTTTGAGACTTCTTTGACATAAATTGCATTTGCGTAATTTTAATGCCAAGAACCTTTCGTCATTTCATGGCATAACCGAAGTTAAAATAACTATGATTGATTTGATAAACCCCACCAAATCATGTTCCATAACGGCTCAAAATAAATGAATGATAAAATACATATATCTGCTCTGGTTTCACTCCGTTTTCAAATGGTCAAAGAACCTGAAAGGCTTCATGGTATTTAAAACGTACCCGCTTTATTTTCGGCAAGAACTTAATTGTAGTTGCTTCAGTAAACGCCTTAATGTTTTACATTTGCTGAGGAATGAGTGAACCAGACTTTCATGAAACGGGGAACTCAACTGTGCTACTATTTAACAACCAGTTGAAAGTACAGGTTCCATTAATCCTGCTATTTTATGAAAATCGTGATGATTCAGAATGCGGTTGCCTGTGATAACAGTGGAAAACCAAAAGAGTTCCAAATTCTATCCTCCTGTCTTAGCGGCTACATTGCCAAAAAAAAGTGACGTACAACAGTTTGGCGTCTAGTGGTTAGTAAGGAAAAGGTCCGTTCTTTACGTGCTGAAAAGCGTCATACATACACCTGCTTTGACGGAAAAACGCGGAGAATTTAACGGCGCGGCCAAGAGAACAAAGGCAATCGGTCAGGTTTAGAATGTATATTTCAATGACAGCTTCAGATGAGCTCAGACTAGGCGGTGATCACAACAGACAGATTAACTATCGTAGAAAAAACAACAACAACAAAACAAAACAAAAACAAGATAACTTATGGGACCGATATCGAACACATACAGAAGAGAAAGCGGAGCATCACGGATAATAAGTTGGCAAAATTTGATGGATTGCCACGATCTTTAAGTCGCCGGGTAGAAGTTTCTTAAGTATATCTCTGTTTGTCAGTTTATTTTATGCATCCTTCTTGGTCATTTAGCCTTGCGTGATTTTGGCAAATAAAAGGGCTTTTGCTCTTCCGATTTGACATTTAAAGCCGATAGTAATAAATAATAATAAGACTAATCCCCTAAAATATCATGACTCTGTGTCCATTTGAATCAAATCCCTGAATGTTTAACGTCAAAATCAGTGAGATGCGTAGCATGAGTTAACCCACTGAAATAAACCAAGTCGGCGTCCACGGCGACTCTGATGCCAAGCTGGTAAATTCTAGCACTGAGAAATTTGGTATAGTTTTAGACGACCTCTTACTTTAAATCTGTTGATATGTAAATGACAAAACGAAAACCCTTCTTTTTGGGAAACATATTGCACGATATGATTCATATCACCTTTCACATAAACGTTGTTATCACATAGCCTGCTTTGTATTCTTTGTGATGAAATCCGGACCCTCAAGCTATCTTTATTTCATGTTTTCTATCTGACAACCGACTAGTATTAGCTAAATGCGTTCATTTTAAGTTTCTGTTATAACTATTTGTCTTTTTCTTTTACAAGGCTTCGCCGGAATTTTCTTAATCTGATATTTGGCTGACCTACGAAGAATTTTGGGTAGGAGCGAGGAAACTTTAAAGAGACTCATCAGTTTTTCATCAAGGCAAAAATCGAAGATGACGGAATTACTACTGACAGAGATACAAATTAGAGACGGCGACCCTGCCGTGAAAAAGAATAACGTTATCTCGATATTCAACCGTGTCTAGAACGATTTGGCGCGGCGTTAAATTTACCGCCTTTCTCCGTCAAAACAGGTGTAGATATGACGCTTTTAACCAAGTAAACATACTCCTTTTTTCTTCAACAACCACCATAAGCCAAACCCTAGTGAGTCACTTTTTCTAGTCAATGTAACCGCTACGACAGGAGGGTATAATTTTGGTGCTTTTATTTTCATTTTCGGACAAATTAACCGCAAAGAAACAAGGTAGAATTCTTAAAATTTACTGATTTTGGATAAGTTTAATAATCTTTATCAAAGATACCGTTCTTTTTAAAGTATTTCACCAAGTGAATATAATTTTTGTATACAATTGTAATTTCTTTACTAAAAAGCATATAATTTATGATGACGAGAGAGGAGAAGGAGACAAAACTCGATGGAATTCGTGTCAAAATACTTTTAAAAAATGAAAACAATGTCGGTTTTGTTTGTTTGTTTTTCTCTACCTTAGAAGTGTTTTTCGGTGTGCATTGTGTATTTCACGAAATACGTTCGAAAGGATTCAACTGCGAGGTATTGCGTTTAAAGGAGACAGTCAACAAACAGATGCCATGTTGCCGTGCACTTTTTCAGCACTAAATCACAAATGACGTCAAAATGTGGTCAGAAAACATGCGGCACACGAGGCGCGTTTGTTTGTAATATTAAGTTTGGTGTCTATTTGGCTGAAGAACCGATTAACAACAGGAAATGTTTGTTTAAATGTGGGATATTGACGTATAAAACGACTCAAACGCCATTAAAAAAAAACTCCTGATCAGCCTTTGTTCCATTTCTTTTCCGAAGAATTCCAATGAATTTTTTTATACTCAATATTTAAAGGTAGCGAAGACGTAATCTAATGACTTGTTAGTTGTTAAACTGTGGAATAACTGTTTATGGAGGTCTAAACGGTTGTGTACTTACAGTGATCGGTCGAACATTCAAAACTGCCTCTCGTGTTTGCTGTTTTAAAATAACCACAGCTTTCTCACTTTTCGTTTTCCATTTACAAGTGGCATTTTTTGTTAACTTCATCGCAGAATACAGCTACAACTTAGGTAAAGATGTCCAGTTCTAAGAAAAAAAATTGTCTAAAAAATTAATTTTTTGTTTGTCTTTAGAGGCTCTGGAATTCCATGAAGGTTTAGAGGGTTTTTTTTCAATATTCAATCGAATATTTATGACCGAATTTGACAACATATACCTATAGCGATGTTAATCGCCTTTTACGTTAGTTCCTGATTGTTAGGCCGGTTTTATCGATACCCAATTTTTAACACTTTAACTAGCGAGGTCTTATTGTTAATTCTCTTTTCTAGTTCCTGGATATTTCTTTGTAAATCAGTTATGAGAATTTGGTGTTAGATTAGATTTCAACTTATACCCGATAAGTTTGTGTATTCTCATTGCCTTTCGACTGGATAACGTATGGATATTTTAAGGGGAAATTACACGTTAATCACTTCTGAGAGTTAAATGGTTGAAAAAAACCCGACCGACAAATCTTGTCTGTAAGTTTTTAGCGACTACGTGTGGACATTCACAGCGCACGGATAAGGAATCAAGTTTTTATTCTATTTTCTTAGTTAAGTTTTACTTTACAAATAATACTCATGAACAATATTTCTAAAAACATTGTTATATAATAAGACTCCTGCCGCCAATATGCATTCAGTAACGACTAGCGGACGGTCTTTCTTCATGTGTTGAGCCGACGGATCTTTTTGGCATACAGCTATCAGTAGATTGCAGTCTTGACGGGAACTTGTTCAGGAGTCCGAGGAAGCAGTTGCTTTTAAAATAGTTTCTATTGCTGTTTTTAATTATTCTGTCATTCAGCATCGATTGCTCCTTATGTTGAATCCTCGGTAATCTAAAGAAAACCCAAATGAATAGGAATGGAAACATATTAAAGCTAACATAAGCAAATTTCTTTTTAATTTCAAGCACTAAAGAAAGAGATTGTTCAGAAATGCTGCGTTCGTGCGAATTCAAAGCGGTTGTAGAGATGGTTTTGAGGAGTAAGCTGCTTTCAAATTTCTTTTGATGTTTCTTTTTATGTGATGCTGATTCAAACTTAGGTGCAGGAAAGACAGCTTCTATTTTCTTAAGTTGTTAAGTTTTTCCGATATAAACGGCTTTCTTTTCCCATACAGGAATTTTTATTCAATTGTCGAAAGTAATCCGGGGTTTTTTCGTTGTGCTTTACTGCGCCATGTGATTGGTAGAGGAATTTCATCCAACCGATTCAACCAATCAGATGCAAACATAAAACCAATCTTGTCTCAGTCGCTCACGTTTTCCCGCCTTCCAGGTGGTAGGCTTGTTTTTACTTTGGTTCTGAACAGCTACGCAAATGATGCCGTTAATTAAAGAAAAAACCTGAATGACCCATAATTCTTTTTTCTAAAGCTCTACAAACAACTGATTCATATCAAATTAAACTCGGAGTAAAATAAACTAATTAATTAATAAGAAACTAGAGTAGAGAACTGACGCGTGATCAGGGCTACATTTAATATGCGACGCGTGAATTTTACAGAAGGCAAACGTGATTCGTGCATTTATGAGTCAGCGTGAGGCGTGATTTACCTCCTGAAATATTCGTGACCCGTGAGTTTGTTATTTCGTTTCGTAAAGGCCCTCGAGATTTTACTGAAATTTCGTGCGCTAGAAAAGAGATTAAAAGTTTTCCCTTTAAAATTTGTGGCGCGTGAAATGCTGTTTAAAGTGTACGCGACGCTTAAATATTTCTAAAATTCATTCGTGAAACGAGATCAGCCCTCCCCTCCCCACCTTCAAGAACTACCCTTGTTACCCTCTTAGAGAAAGGATTAATTTGAAAATATGATTTGAATTAATACAGCGATTGCTTTCCAGTGCAAATTATTTGTAAATGAAATATGCTCTGAAAACATCAAATAACGTTGGGTAGCCTAATTCTTCTGCTTACATATAACATGAGGTATATGAAATCGAATGTGTTTATTGGGAGTGGGTTGCACACAGCATCAAAATTTGATTGATCCTGTCGCATTGTTAAATTTCGAATCCAAAAGTCGTCAATTTAATAGACTTTATGTGCTTCTAATAACAGAGTGATTTGATATCGATAGATGGCTTGCGTGCGCAAAAATAATTGGAAATCAAACGACAATCAACTTCTAATTTTATGATTCCTGTAATAATTGAAGAGTCTCCTTTTAGTTGAGGGTTAATATCAGTGATTTACAATGCTATTGCCGATATAAATCTGCAACGATATGAACTAAAACCCAGTCAGTGTTGAGCACGAAAGCAAGAAATGAAGTGTTGATGATGCTTTTGGAGCCGTTGCCTCAGACGTTTTCTTTCTTAAAACACAAGCAGACTGATATCTGTTGTACAACCTCTGCACCTTTGTCCCTCTTTTTTTTTCCCACGATGGTGATGTACGCTAAAATCGATAAGAAACCGCCGACATTTGATGTCACACATAACGTGTTCCATTATTCGCCCTTTTGTCCACGCCATTTTAGATTTCTCTATGGGATCATTTGCGGTCCTCCTTTAGAGTAATTTGCGGTAGAAAGATCATTTGCGGTTCAATTTAATTGAGGATCATTTGAGGTGCGGGTTCATTTGTGATTTCATTGGAGGTTCATTTGTTGACCTCCTCAGGAATCATTTGAGGTTAAATTTGGAGGTCAATTGTATTTCGTGCCCATTTCCAGTTCTAAAATCATTTACGGAGCTAGATAGCCTGGGTTTTCCATGGCACTCCGCGAAAGAAAAGCGCGCTAACTTCTCCAAAGATTCCTTCTATCTCTGAGTTAATATATAGAAACCTTCCTTAGATTCATAGCTCTTTGTGAAAAGAGTGAACGCGCTGAAAAACCGCAAGATCCCTTCTGTGGGATTATTAGAATTTTTACTTTGAAACGGCACTATGATTGGACAGACATCTCTAGGCAATGTCTAAAGGTGCACTCGACCGGTCCATTTCCTACTACAATGTAGTTATATCTCATTTCACCGTATATCTTCTCGAAGCTGGAAAAGTATTCGAAACTTCAAAGGAATCGTCCAGGCACAATTAAGAATCAAACTGCGAAATACATTAAGACAAGTTTAGAAATAAACCTAGCAATATTGATAAAAAAAGCTAAAAGAATGACAGAACCAATCAACCGTCTGAAACCTTTTCGCGGGAAAAGCACCCGTGCGTAATATGGGTCACCAATAGTTTTGTTTCGAATCAATCGGTTATGAAGAAAGGCACATCGCTGTTTTTAATTTGAAGCAAGAGGAAAAAATAGAGTACCATTATTTTCCCTCGTTTGAAACCAATTCAATTCGCAATAAAGCAGATTCGAGGGTGCAATCTTTTTTAAAGCTTGGAACTAACAGACAAGGTCATTGAAATTAAAAAAAATGATAGCCAGTAGGTTCTAATGAAAAGTGATTTTTTTTAATTTTTAATGCATCTCAGAGGCAGAGAATAGCCGTAGACATACCTTGAGGTTTTGTTCCTTGAAGAATCTCTTTCCCACACAGTGCTTGCTACGATATCGGGTGCCGATAATACACGGAGACCTCTTCCTCGGCTTTAACTGAAAAACCTTGGCTTCTTCATCCTTTGATGACATAAATCTTTCGTCGTCTTCCAGAGAGAAACATGCGTTCATGAGATATAGAACTACAACTAAAAAGAGAAAAAGGGAAGTCTTTTGTAACATATTGGCTTTTTTTGAATCAAAGACAAGACTCTTAATGAAATTTGTGGCTAAGAAGCACTTTTCTGTTGAATGTCCCGTCGATGTGATTTCAACTTATTTTATACTCTCTGTGCTCTTATTGCAGTACAATATTACCTTATCATGAATGCTATCATTAAATTTTGACAAATGGCGCGACAGGACGTTAATAATGGACGCCGTTGATAGCGAGTTATTAATCTATGGTTCCTTTCCTTTTAATTCAACTAAAATCCAATAACTTTTGTTTACATTTATCTCAAGACTTTCTTAGTGTTATGGGATGTGCACAGGATCTCCACTAATTTACCTCTTCCAAAGTCACCGGAAAGTTAAATGTTTGAGGGGAAGAAAGAAGAAAATCAAATATCGAAGAAAAGAACTGTTGAATGGAAAACGGGTCTTAGAAATGGTCTTGAGTGAGTGAGTATTGGTGAATAATTATATGGATGAAAATTTCTGTCATCAAGAGAAGATCGAAGTAAAAATTAAGGGAACTGAGGCGGAGATTGACACGGAGTAAATTTGAATAGGGAATTTGTTTTTCTTTTTCACTGAGTTCTTTAGTTGGGTCATCAGCGTGGTAGGCTTTAATGGTAAATACGTTTTTTTTTTTACTTGTGAGGAAATTATTAACGACTGAAATATGGTGAAAATAAAAGCAAAATTTTAGCGCCGATGTGAATTAAGACTTGTTCATCTATAGATTGGGTCCACATTTCTGATAAATAATTCTTACACCGAGAGAGCGTCCTCCGTCAAGCATCAAAATGGCAGTCATTGTACGAAAATGTTTGTTGGTCAATTTTAGTATAAATAGTTTTTTATCGATTGATCTTTGTCTTGAAAGAGGTGAAAGCGGCGATGGCAATGTGTTATTTTACACAAAGCTTTCATGAAAAGAAACGCTGTTTCGCTGAAATACTGGATGACAATATTGCGAACCATGGTTTTTGACGGTGAGTGGCTCGTCATGTACAGCTGCTGATTTTGCTGAAGCTAAGTTCATTAGATAACCATCAGACCTCGGAAATGTTAACAGATGCTGAGATGACACCTTGCCATATTTCCTTGAATTATAGGAAATAAAAATGAAACTTGGTGAAAGACAATCGAACCACCTGTTGGCAAGGCTTTCATAATCGAGAGGATTGTACAGTGAGGAAGTATTGGATTATGAGCACCCTACACCAAAACACTTGTAGATAAAAATCAAGATGCCCGTTTTATGATGCAGTATTGTCTGAATAGATGAGAAGCTTGTCTCTCAAGAGGGTAAACAGACCCGTCCGGCCGTGGATAGCTTTTTTACTTTAAAAAAAACTATACATGCCCACAAAAATATTGATCTTAAGTTATTAGTTCAAATTAAAATTATAGCACATTTCTACTTTCAGTTGTCAGCCCGGTTGCTGATATTTTGCGAAGCATTGCTGATGTATTTAACAACACCTTTACTACGTTTTACCGAGCTTTTTTTTTTGTCTTGGTTCGCTGAAAATTGTCCTAAAATGAATGAAACCTTTAATAATAATTTCGAGGGTAAACAAGCCCCTGAGAGGAAACAAAAACAAAATAGATGCAGGAAGCACCGGCGATAGGAACCCTTGTTAAGAAGGGTTGAAAAATTATTTTTAAAAAAATACAAGGAGTAGCTGACGGAAAGCTGAATACTTGAATCATTTGATTATCAAATAATAGTGATATATATTGAATAGTTTTACCTTTTTAAACATTTTAATGAGTTTACATTGAATGAGTTGATTAGAATGAGTTTACATCGTTGCTGAATGGCGTAAAAATATACGAATTGAACTTTTCATTATTAAAATAACAGACAAATCCCAAAAATTAATAATTTAAATAAACCAAGAACACAAAATTTGAAATAATTCTCGTTACAGCAGTCCGGATAGTTAGGTAAATGTTTTTATATTCGTCATCTTTCGATGGGAAAAAATCCGTGGTTTAGACTTCCTTTTGCCAATCTTCCTTCCTCTTTTTTTTCTGTAGATTCCTTTGTAATGCCAAGATCCTGTAATAGGTTTATGGAATTCGACTTCATCCGTGTTTCTTTATGTCATTCATTCTTAGTACTCAGTCACGTTCGTTTGTTGGTCCTCGTCTTCCTCCCCACGCCTTCGATTATCTGATAAAAAAAACAAAAACAAAAGAGGATTTATGATAAACTATTGTAATGGTCAGAATCAAAAGCATACTAATCTCGAAACGTCAGCCTTCTACTCTACGGTGGCTAATTTACATTTTCAACTCAGTTCATGAAACTAAATTATCTCGTTATATCCCTTCAACGCAGAACAACGGTTTCTTCACAAACTTCCCCCCTTTGTTGACATATCTCAGGTAGCTTGGTCGAGTTTTGTAGTCGAACATGTTCCGTTTTTATCTGCACAGCTGACTCGCTTCAAGAACACTGCAGGTTCAACATCCTCTAAGTTGTAGTAACCACGTGCTAACTCACTCTCAGGCTTCTGATTAGTCAATCTAATTCATTTTACTTTACCAAGACGTGTGAAAATAGATCGCAAATCTTAGGAAATTCGTAGTAACGTTTGCCAACTTTTTGAAACACTTCTTGTTCGAGACATTCGTGACTCTTCGTGGGTTCGGAACCTCCTCGGTGATTAGTGAGAACCTTTTTTAGAAACCTCATATCTTTTAAAGGTCTCACGAAAGATCAACCAAAAAAGGATAATAAGGATAATTGTTTTATGCTTGTACCATGTGCTTGAAGAAAACTCCTAGAAGGACGATGTTATGACTAATTATTATTCTGTTATTGTAAATTTAAAAACTAATTCCTTTTGTTAGTAGCAAGCAGGCAATAAAATGGAAACGTTTCAAAAATTGGAAAACGGGAATAGAGAATAAATAAACCATTCTGTTCATGACTGAGGCAAGGAGAAAAATTAAGAAACGTGTTTTCTACACTGTTATTGGCCAGTTCCGAAAACTTGGTTCCCATGGTATTTACTCGCTTGACGGCTTCATAATATGATACCCGACACAGAACTTAATAACAATTTTCAATAATTCTTCGAAACAAATATTATACTAGGAGTTGAATACCATTTTCATTACTTTTCCTTTTGAAAAATCTTCGTTTCCCTCTTCGGCGACATCTTTCCGTTCTGTAGCGAGTTCCTATGATACCACATGGTGATCTTAGCCAAAGTTGGACAACTTGTGAATTTTGATCTACGTTGTTAGCGCTATCACCTGTGACTAAAGATGACCTTATATTGAGAAGAAACAGTAGGACTATTAAACTTGCTAGAGTAGCACATGTCTTAAAGGACATTCTGAAGAGATTAGCAAAGTGTCGCTTTAGAAGTTGAGCGAAATTCAAGTTTAAGCTGGCAGACAAACATTCCGGTTCTCTTTAAATATCGTGCAAGAAATGCTAATTACGACAATTAAACTTTCGTTATCTTCTAAAGCTTTCTTTCTCCCCTTTTCATAATTAAGAGAAACGAATTGAAAACGATACAGCTGGGGCTAACAAAAGGCATCTGTCTTTTTGTGAATAACAAAATCCTTCTTTGCGAATAATGGTGAGATATTTATAGTTGCGAGAAACGTAGTTCACGAAAGTAGGTCGACATTCTTAAACGGAATTTTCTCGAAATGAAACCGCTTTTTTTAAAGACATTCTTCTTTGAAGGGTACAAAATGATTGAGTTTCGAAGAAAAATGTGGGAGCCGCTTCAATTCTTTTCTGAATATTTATGCTTTTAATTGTAAAGGATCTTTTATAAGTTGTTGAATAGATCTTAATTAAAGCGGCATTGTTTGAGGAAATAAGACATGGTAGTATTTCTACGCTCCGCTTTTAAGTGTTTTTCCATTGAATTCCATATGGCACGAAGGTTATTTCAAGCAAGCGGAACCTTTGAAAAAATTACCTCAAAGAAAATGGTACTCATGGGAATGGAAACAGAAAAGAGCGCAAAATGTTTTTACGTAGTTTATTATCTCACTTCTACGTCATTTTACCTTATTAGGATATCGGAACGTGCAAAAATACTCCATGGTCTTGCATTGTAGAACAGAGTAGAAATACGGACGGAAAGCTGAGCAACAAAATGCTGCACTGAACGATCCACACTTTAGTTTTGTTTCATTTTTCAGGCTTGACTTTTAATTGAAGCGACGAACCTCTTAGTGCATCAGATTTCTTTGTCAGTCACAAAACACCCCATTAGTCTCGCTCGTATTGTTTTCAACTTCACACAAGCCATATTTGATTGATACTCTGTTCGTGCAGAAAAAAAACCGTAGGATGTATTTCGAAAGCCAGACGCCAAAATACGAGAAAATGAAGTTAGGGAACAGTAAATCCCTTATTTAGCCTTAATTCAGGTATACACGTTACAGATAAAAAGAAAGACTTGTTTTTGGTGTCGTGGTAAAAAAGTTTTCGAAGCACTTGCCAAGAAAAATTATTAGTGCGCAATATGACTCTACTGATATTTTGTAATGCTACTGATATTTTTTTATTTCAACTGATTTGAGGTGTGAATCGAACGTCCAATTTTGCGGTTGATTCGATGTAATCACTGTTTTTAATTTGAGAAACTTTACAACAAGTTTGTAGCTAAGAGAGTGGAAAGGCTCATTTTGCGTTGGCAGTTTCCACGAAGCTTTGCATAGGGCGCAGATATGTTAGGGTACATATGTCAAACCACTCGGATCACAGCATTACGGTATATCTTTCACCAATCAGAGTATCAGGGCATTTTCCCTCTGGCCAATCATATCATGGAATAAGGGTGTTGTAAAATCATGCAATGGAATCACCAAACATTGACGTCCACTAGGAATGTCATTTACAAGGAATTGCGTGCTCATCTTCCCAGAGTGATGGTTCATGTCCTTCGTGAGGTCCTCGTCTCTATGACCTGTCGGGTTAGAAAGGTCGGCAGAGCACTTATTTACCAATTAGAAGTTATGATGTAAAATACGTTTTGTGTACCGCTCCTTTTCTCACAACACACACACGCACACACACACACCTTAATTATCTGTTTTTAAAGGGCAGGTTTTCTTTTGACTCAGGTAGAAAGTGCGCAAAGCATTCACATCCCTTGTGGTTTCGTCATTTGGCTGAGAATAAAAGAAGAGCAAGTCATATTCCAATTCTGCGTCAACTAATATGTTGAATATCCATTTCTTTGCGCTCAGAAGTTTACCATTAATTACATCCTATGTTTAAACAGTGTTTTCCCGATACAATCACGTGTTAACTTGTCACTATTGACTTGATTAAATGACATCTTTCAGTAAAAAACCTAAATTTTACGACATAATCCTGCGCCCCTGGAAGAATTCACAAGGAATTAAAGCCACTTAAGTTAGTTTTCCACGCAATTTTCAATTTTCCGACGCTTTTAGCTAGCTTGGACTTTGCCACATCATCGGTTCGAAAGAAACCTGCATTTTATCGCTAATTCCACACGCTGGGGGTGGGGAGACGGGCGTAAAGTCTAAATAGGCAACAGCCAAACAAGGAGCCCCTGTCGTAACACCCAGAGGAAAGCCTTAAAAATCTTGTTTTCGTTCAATGTATTTCGCCTATTCGAGGAACGGAGACTTCAAAATGTGTTCTTGTTTAGGGGTTACTAGGGTTAATACAGTTTTTCGGTTTGCTTTCCGAGGAATTATGAGTAACAATATTTTGAGGCAACTAGGTGTAACCGTATAATTTTGATTTGTTTCTGACGAAAGAACAGCAGTAAGCATAGTCTTAGCTTTCGAGCTAGCACTCATCAATGGCGCTCCAAGACGCGCGTTTCTCCTCCCGCGAGAAAATTTAATACGAGTTTGGGAGAGGTTTGCCGGTGGTCTGACACTAATTTTCAGAGCTAAACCCCTTGCAAACCTCTCGCCTAAGAAAGGCTCGCGCGTTAAAGGTGATGCCCTTATAATGAGGACCTGCTGAGGGTTAGCGTGCTCTTTGATGTCCACTGAAGTCGAGGAACCGGCATAAAGCAGGTTTTGAGATTTTAGAAGCAACAAATTTATAGTTAAGTTCCACCCCCCTTAAAAATGATGCGAGCAACATTGATGGGTTGTGTGATCGCGACAAAAAAATACCTTGCTACAATCTACGTAGTGACAACTTCGCAGCCCTTCTTGAAATGTTACTTAATGCTGCTCCTCTATTCTACGAGGAACAGTGCAATGAACGCATTAAAGAAATACGCTGATTCCTGCATGTGTTCAATTTATCTATCCATTATCTTACTCATAAACCTGATAAACCTAACGAATGAGTAGTGCCAATCGACTTCACCTTGTCGACCGGAAAATCTCTAGATTATAATTAGTCCTTAACGTAACCTTTAGTAATCTTGAAGCACAACGCTTTTCCCTGTCAAAAACTAAAAAAATTCCCAATACGCCAGTTAGGATTCTTCACAACTTTCATGCTGCTCGGTAAAAATTCAAAACTCTAACGTTCGAACTTTTGATAGTCAAAAGTTATATTAAATCAACTGGAGCCGTCGTGAAGGTTGCCTTTCAGCTACCGCCGAGTCTGTAAAACTGAACAGCCTTAATCAACCCCACTGTTACAGTTGTGAAGAATATTTATTGATCGTGCAGTTAAGATTATTAACCACTCAAAAGCAATAGACCCTTCTCCAATTTAATTTACCAAGCTCAACGCCCCGAAAATACTAATTTATATATATTAATTACGTGGTAACACTTCTCACTGTGACAGAAGATTGCCATTTGGACCGAATTTCATTTAAGAGGTGATCAAAAGGAAATAGCGAAAAGTTTCATCTGTTAGTACTTGAGAATAATGCATTTATTTCCTTCTGTTGGATATCAAACTTTTGATGAAGGTGTTGACTGAATGTTCAGCTCTACAAGGCGTTACTCACTTTTAACCACATAACAATTGTAACGATTTGTCAAACAGAGCCGAAGCAGGCCCGGTGCTTTCTAAATGTATCTCTGCTTTGTTAAATTGAAGTTTCAATTGATGATCTTCGGAACCTCCGCTGTATGCCATTTATATCATTATAATTTTAATGTACTGAAAAATTGTTACCAATGATTTTAATTTCTTACTATCCCTCTCAGTCAGTGTGATAAAAGATAGGCCGTCTTAAAACTGACACATGAAAGCAAGAAAAAAAAAAACTCCAAGCTTAGTTTTGCTCGTAAACATGGTCGTAGAAGAAACTTGGACAGACAGGGGCGTAACACTCGATACCTCAGCTTCAGAAGCTTTTTACATCGGCCAAGTTGCATTAGCAACTCAGTTGATAAAACCAAATTACCTCGTGTAGACAGGACTACAACACCACGGAAAACATCGATTAAAAACATGAACTAACACTTTTCGAAAATGGCTGTATGTGTTTAGATGTGTTTACTGTTTCTTACAGTATCTCGTCTAAACATAAGCATTTTCTATCATTGTGTAAGCAGCATTGAGTTCCAAATAGGAAAGTTATCAACAAGCAATCGAGGTTTCTGCTCTCACATCACACAAATTTTGAAGATTTCACGTCGTCGTTTTACAGAGGGAAGAAAATAAACAATGCTCTAAGACGATGATACTGAGCCATTGTTACGCTCAACAAATCCCCGAGAGTTGTTCCACCGCGGTTTACTGAAGGTCTCTAACGCCCAAAAAACGACGCACATGATCTTCTGGGAAATCGACCTTATCTTAGACGGCAAATTTTTAACGTTACTCGATGTTTGAGTGAGATTATGATGCCAAATTCAATCAAATAGTTATTTTGGATTCGTACTTTATACATTGCTTCACCATTAAGCTGATAGGGAAAAAGGCTTAGCCCACCTTTCGCTATCAATTGGCAGTTTTAAGATCCATCTTGGAGAAGAGAAGTGCCAGTTGCTTTCTTGTTTCGCATCAGCCTTATTAATGAAAAATAAAAATCTGGGACTATTTTGGACGTCTTAATTACGAAGGGCTTTCACTGTATTCAGTTTAAAACAACTCACAAGTCTTTAGAAGACTCTCAACCCGTATGTAGTTTCCGCCACTATACAACCTTTACTCTCTACCACCCATTTATACACCTGAGTGGAGAGAGACATTTTGCGAGAAAAGTGTCTTGCCCAAGAGCATGACAAAAGCACCTTGCTAAGGCTCTAACCCAGGACCTCTCGATAAATGCGAAATCTGCTCTAGGCATCAGGCCACCACGGCCTCCAACAGCTGAGACGAAACATTGATGTCGTACCCTGATCTCAGTTATGGCACAAGACATACACATTGAATTGAAGAACAATGGGCGAATTTGAAGAAGTTTATTGGACATCAACATTGATTCATAATCAATTTTGTTAAGTTTTATACGTTAGATTTCATGTTACTCAAATAACAAACTTGAGTTTGCTTTCATATTCAAGTAATTTCTGATTCCCAAATTTTTCCAACTCTCATTATAATCGATCCTCTCTGTTTGTTTTATACAAACATTACATATTATTTATTCCTGCTCTCCTTCTCTTCGCTTGTTTAAGCAGTGCTCCCGCTCTTTGGAATTCTCCTCCTCCTCCTCCGTGTGAATCTTCAATAGGAGGCTTGTTCATCTAGCATTACCAAAACAAATTAAATTCCGTTTTAGAAACTTGTCCTTTCTTTTGTCATGTTAAACTGGAAGATTCTTTTTAAAATTGTTCTATGATTGACAAAACCTTAGATGTGCGATTCATGAGTGAATTTGCTACAAAAAAAATGAAAAATAAAACAAATAATTTTTTTTCAATTTTTTTCGTTAAAATTTTTGAAACAATTTTTCTTGAATTTTCAGGGGGCGACATCCGATAGAAACTTAAGGTTTAGCTACATATTTATTTCTTTGTTTAATGAGTTGTAATTAAGCAGATACATTCCCTTTTGGGCATTGATATCAGAAACGTCTTTTCTGTAGATAAAACTTATTATACGATATATGTTCTTCACCTGGTTAGGAATAGCGGTGTCCGCCTTGATTCTTATTTAGAACAGAATTGATTTACTCTTTACTCTTTAAATCAAGGTCGTCGACAGAACTTACTTACCACTGCTTGTAATTTTCTTAGCCTTCTCTTCACAGAAGAGCATTTAGCTTTTCTATGCCTTGCCCAGATTATCCGCATGCATTGCCGTGGAATGCGTTCGTTGTTACGCTTGAATTGCGCTCCATTGCTGTCTTTCTTTTGCCCTTCAACGCAACAAAATGAAACCAGAAGCAAGGAAAAAACAAGGAAACTTGGGAAAAACTTTAAAGAAACTTTCATCCTGATGAGTCCTTCTTAAATGTGACGAAGCTCTGTAGAGTTGGTGATCACTTCAAAGCTGAGCAAAGTGTTGAGTGTTGTTTGTGAAGCTTTAAATTTTGTGGCAAAGAAAATCTCCTAAGTGCGACGGTTGTGTTAATAGTTGATTTTTTTCTTTTGATCGAATTAATGGGATTTGACAGTTTTGAAATCCCTTAATTTTGAGGAAAAGTAGACGCTTCCTAATGCTATTGCCAAGGTGTTGATTGCATGTTATCATCTTAATATAAAATTCTTGAAAATAAAAATATATTATCGTTTCGCGTTTGTGAGGTGCGAACCCAATTATCTACCAAAATATTACTTTAACGCGTAACTCATCTTGTAATGATCAGATTAACATGAATTTGAATGACTTTGGGCAAGGTGTTACGACTGGCCAATACCGGCATTTGCGTTTCATAGGCCATTTATCTTATGTAGTGGTAATCGATTAAAAAAACAGAAGGCATTACCGGGATATCGACCTATTCCCCTGACGAAGAAATTTTGTCACCATGAAAACGAGGTAGGTTTAAAAAATGGCGCCTTCTTATTATGCCATGCGCAATGACGATTTCACGACCGACATTTTGAAGTTCTGCTAGTCAGAATTGTTACTCAGATGTTCGCTTCTAAGTGGAAATGGCCTTGACAAGAAGTGAACTCCGTGTTCTAGCCATACTTGGCTTGGTAATTTTAATTTTATGGTCGTTCTTCGGCTTATTTTGGAGCCTTCTTCTTGTTTTTTCGTTTCTGATCTACGCATATAACTTCGGAAGGCATGGAAATAGAAAAATTCGGCGAGTTCACGAAGAGGTTGACAGCGAACCAGATCTAGATTTGACGTTTCAAGAGAAATCTAGGGATGATTTTCCGGTGCTTCAAGACTTGGAGTTCACTGGTTTACCCACAGACAGATATTCGCTGCGATCACCCACACCTTTAATGTCTGTCACCAAAAGGCTTAGTTTCAACATGAGGTGAGATTTTTTTGTTGTATCTGTTAGTAGCGAAAGGTCTTAATCGAACCTTTTAAACTCGCCATTCGACAAAGTAAACCATGCTCTTATTAAGGAAAAAGCTTGATAGTAAAATGAAAGAAAAGGAAATCTAGAGTTTGCAGCTGAGACCTCCCTGGCTTTTTCACGCTATATTTTTTTTGTATGTTAGAGAAGATAGTACAAATATATACTTGCGCAATATTCAGCCTTTTTGTCATCGGGTACATATCTTTGTTTTCCCTTTCGTGGTCAGTAACAACCTCTATCGCTGAATGCACTTTCCTTTTTCTTTTCATTTTTTAAAAGCCCGCTTTTTGACCGAAAAATAGCTGCTTGCAAATATTGGTCTGTCATGCATCAATCACTTAAAGCTTCAACATCAATCCCCAGACGTTGGCCCAAAATTTTGTGCCCTACCCGAGTGCCAGATTTGATAGTCAATGTTTTTGTAATTCTTTTGGTGCACGAAGCAAAATATTTATTAGTCATATCAAACTGATTTATACTTTTAGTTCCACAACACCTTTTCACACAAGAAAAGCCTGGAACAGCAGAGATATGAATGGAACTCTGTATTCAGGGCGAGGAAGTGCCCTTGGATATCACCGTAAGCCGCACAATTTTAGTCTCTTGAATCCTGCACTGCAGAGGCCATCCACTGTTAAAATAGCTTCACCAGATGTCACAGTTAACAGGACATTCACATTGTAAGTGATCAGTTTTCCTTATCAGGTGGTTCTATGCACAGGTCAAGTGTTGGAAGTAATTTCAGTGCAATAATTTTGCTGCTACTTAGATTCATATGAAGGGTCCTTAACACAGGTCCTGGAAAACCTGGAAAGTCCCAAAATTTTATTTTGATATTTTCCAGGACTGGAAAGTCCTGGAAAAAGACTCTACAGGTCCTGAATATCTGCTTGACTCAAGCAATAAAGTTTTCAGAATTAGCAATATAATAAATGCATGTAGACTGTAAAGAGAATTGATTGTGAAATCTTGAGAATGAAAGGTTTGAAGGTGAAACTCGGATTCCTGGAAAAATCAGTCAAAGTCCTGGAAAAGTCTTGGAAATGTTCTGGAAAATTTTAGGAAATTTGTTTCTGTAAAAGCATACAAACCCTGTGATAGTCATTTCATTCTGTTGAATCTGTAATAAGCTCTGGCCAGATGATCTGCCTAGCTCAATTAACTGCCATCTGGTTCGCTTATGTTGTGGAGCACTGGATTGTATATGGGAAGTTAAGTGTTCAAGCCCCAGACTGGACAACAATCATGGTCTTAAAAGGACTGAGGATATTATACTCCCTTACTGGTTTCTAATGACAACCCTGTCATCACTAACTGGTATCAGGTAAAAGGTGAGGTCTGTACTTGAGGCTAATGGCCCATCCAGCTGGAGCTTGTCCTTGGTTTCCAAGTAACATGAAGTGAAGTATTACTACTCTTTCCTGGATGGGATGGGTACCATTCCATTGCAAGGTTACCCCCCAGCATTTTATCAGGCTTCCCTGGAAATTGGCTGGTACCTATTTTTAGTCCTGAAAAGAGAGAGACACAGTGTGGTGATAAATATCTTACACAACACATTGACCCAGCCAGGTCTCGAATCTGGACCACTTGACTTAGAATCCTGTGCGCTGAACAATAGACCACTACTTCTCATACAATTACTAACTGTATACTTAACTTAAGTATGAATTTCAATTGATGGTTTGAAATAGGAATAATGAGGGCAGATTGTTTCATTGTACGGCTTGGAGTCTATGTAAATGTTTTCCAAAGTATGTTTGTTGATGTTTACTGTAGATCCAACAGTCCCTTAAAGAGAGCAGGAGTTGATGAGAACCCATGTAGCAGAGTCACTGTCCTCTCTGCACTCAAAGAGAGCAGGAAAAGAAGTTTTGCTGTTTTTGATGAAGGGGAGGAAGAAGTGTCAAGACCATCTAAAAGGTGTGTGGTAAACTGTACAATGTATACAACATTCACCCGTTACACCCAAACATCAGTAGGCATATTCTCCATACTGTTCTCTATACATTTCCTAAGGTGCTGACAAGGAGAATTTGTGTAACAATCAAAAGCTTCTTTAGTTGGTGATCATTTCTTGTATTCTCATGACCTTAATGTTTGATTGAAGGGTGATTTTGAAAGGAGAAATTAGATGCTAGTCACCTGTAAGGGTCTAAGGGTTTACAAACTACATTTCTTCGAAAAGGGGTAAGTTTCTAAAGAAACTGTGATGCTGTTTTGGTGAGGGTTAAGGTAACATTATTTTGTTTCATCAACTGTATTTGTAATGTAAATTGGCTGGAGTTTCTTAAACTGACGTTCCAAGTGTTAGCACCTCGTGAGAGCAAATAGAGAAATTGTAGGTTTTGTGTGGTCTATATACAGAAAGACAGAGCCTTTCCCCTTATCTAGGCAGTTCAGAAGGGGCACAACTCCAGAGAAAAAATTTCAGCACTCTTCATCCCTCCAGCTAGACCAAATGCTTTTCATTTAGCCAATTTATTCATGTTTTTTTTCTCATTTCCATGTTCCCACCAACAACTTATCTCAATCTTTCTGTATGTATACCACATGCAAAAAAAGATGTCTCTATTTGCTCTGACAAGGGCTAATGCAAGAAATGCCAGTTTTAGAAATTTACTCTGGTGACCAATTAACATTATGAAGCCAGTTGATTTTTGTTAGCTATGATTTTGTGACAACTCTGAACTGACACCCCTCCCCCCACTAGACCCAGCAAGTAATAAATTTGAACATATCTTTTTATTTTTAGGAGAGATACCAAGCCAGCAGAATCTTACCCATTTAGCAGTCCTCTTCTCAAAGGCCGCAAACGAGTAGCAATCGCAGAAAGAACTGAAAAAGCAGCTGATGGGGGCTCTAAGAAGAAAAGCAGAGTTGTAGATGATAGTGCAAGTGATTCTTCTGACAATGTGCAGAATGAAAGTTATGTGGAAGCTGTTACACAGAAGAGGAAAATTATGGAAACTGAAAAAGAACCACCAAGTGTAAGTGAAACAGTTGTGCTATATCAAAGATCAGTCGTCCCTGATTTTTGTTGCTTCAGTTACTGTTCGAGATGTTCAGAAGCCATACTCCGATTTATGAGTTCTGTATTTGAGTGGTGTCTTTTAGGTAATTTGTGTTGTGTTCTTGGGAAACAAAAGACACATTTCTTTCATATTGCCTTTTTTTGCCGAAAAGTATAAATGGGTAACAGTGGATCGTTGGGGATTCTTGTAGTGGATCCCCAACCAGGAAGGGTACAGCTGGAGCATGGTATTCCCTAATTGCTTTACATGCATGTCAACTGCTGCCTTGCGCAAAGTGAAGGTGGATTCAAGGGCTACCATTGTGTCTAGCCAGTACCTCAGACAGAGGTGTGCCCCTTTGCTTGGTAAAATGTAAGTCCATGGCAGGTAACATCATTTCATTTTTCTTTTGAATAAATCTCATGAAAATCCAGCAAGCACTGGCAATGTATATGTATGTAAGACCAAGGCTACATGTCAAATTACCCCTTTGGTGAAATTAAGCATACATGTAGACGAGTGTAGTTTGTCTTAAAGGCTTCTGTCATTTTCTGTAAGCCCATTATTAACTTTTTACCGATCAATCTTAGAGTGAAGACATAACAGAAAGTGTAGAAAATTCAGGAGAAGACGAAGTTGACTCCTCTAAAGAGAGAAGTAAGATTTTGGATAATGGTTACAAGTCCATGGAGACTGAACACAATGAGACACAAAATGAATCTGCCTCACGAAAAAGAAAAGAAGCAACCGCAGAAAGAGATGCAACAAAAACTAATGTAAGTGGAAATCATATCCATAAAGTACACGGTAGCTTCTGAGTAGGCTTTCAATAGCGCTGCGATATGAGTGGCCGTGCGTTTTGAGCCCGCGAGCGATTTGAGCGCGGGAAAGGTCCACGAGGGGTCTGGGACGATAATTATCAGTGCCAGACCCCTTGTAGACCTCCCACCGGCTCGCCTTGCGTAAGGCCTCAAAGTTTCACACGGGCGATAAAACGTTCGTGCTGCAGGGCTTAAAATGACAGCCAACTCGTTGGCTAGCCATAGGGTAAATACACTTTTTCCTTCATTTTTGAGCGCCTTTTCTTACGTTGCTCTTGCTGTTTTATTCAATAAATGTGATTATAATTTTGCTCCATAAAGGATGACAAAAATGAGAGCAAGTCAAGGAAGACTAAGGAGTCAGAACCACTGACAGATAAAGAAGAAGTTAAACGGTTGGTAGACGCCTTAACTGGTTGTATCACTAATTAATAAACATAAATTTTTTAACAACATTGTTAAAATGGCCTCATATGGCCACGTTGTCGCAGGTTACATGTCTTTGCAAACATAATTTTTTCTGCTTTTTTTTTTTCGGGGGGGTGGGGGGCGGAGGCTTACCAACTGGCGCTCATTTCAACCGTTAATCTCTCTTGTAGAGGAAAGACTGAGTACGTGAATGAAGATGTCAGCTCGGTACTTAAACCTCCGGCAACAAATGTACAGAAACGATTTACAGTCCCAAGATTTGCATCCAAAGACGATTCAAGAAGAAGGGCTGTACCAGTTTATTGTGCTTCTAATGAAGAATCTGAGATGGTGAGGTTTACTTTAAAGTCTTTTTAGGAGCATTTTTTAACCGAAGTGCTTAGATAAATATTAAAAGCGCTGTGGTTTTGTTCTGTTATGCTTAGTGATTAATTTAAACATAGTTTACCAACCAAACAAAACCAACAGGCTTTGGACTCGTTTAGACAACTTTTCCCGCTCTTGGCATAAAATGACCCGTGTACAATGTAAATCGTTCGATTGGTTTACAAATACTTGCGCCACTTTCTCAAACAATTGAGATTGAATTCAAGTAACACCGCTGCAAACCTCGCTATAATAACAGTTATTTCCCGCCCTTAAGAACCAGTCGGTATGCGGTTTGTAATTGGGTTGAAAGTCAGAAATATTTGGCACTCTTTCTGCTCTGGCAATCTGTATCAGAAGTGAAGTCGTGAGGTCAGCACACGTGTTTTCCCGCGTTTGGTTTACTTTAACAGTTTTTTCGCGTATTTTTAGCCCCAAAGAAGAACTGTGTCGAGAAAAATCAACCAGGAGCAGTTGAAGATCGATCGCAAGTTAGCCTGGGAGCGGGTGAATGAGCTGCTGGGTGGCAGTGATGATGATGATGATGAAAGTGAAGCGAAAGATAAAGAGAAACCAGGTAAAAAGACTCTAACCATGCATTTTTTTTTTGTCTTGGCGAATAATCACAACTCTTGAAAACGCTCTAATAAGCCCCATCTATTAAGCCTCTCCTTTTAATAAGCTCCCCTCTACCTTTGAAACCCTTGGGCATTGACAAGTCCCCCCCCCCCCCCCCCCCCCCCCCCCCCCCCGTCCCCCCCCTCCTCCGTGAGGGCTTCTCACAGAGGTTACTGCAAAGCTGGAGACCGTTTCTTTAAAAGGGATTAGAACGAGTATGGATGGATACAAACGTCTCAGTGAAGTGTTTTCAATAACCAGATTTTCTTTTTAAAGAACAGCATAACCTAGCTATTCCCATTTTAAAGCGAGACTGTTCATGGAAACCATGGTATCTTCTCCACTTCCACCGTTAACGTACGAGTTATTTTGCTTCTCACAAGTCACACACATGACTCGCTCCTTTGTCACCAACACCCTGTGCGTGACGAGGTGTCGATCGCTGGTTTTCCCTCGTTAAATGACAAATTTCTTCTCCACTCCTTACACGAGAAACTTAACGACCTCAACTCAAGATAGTGCTCCTTCTTTTCTTTAAACGAAAATTCCGCAAAAGTAAGTGGAATAAATGCCATGAGTTAGGATTCTCGTTTATGTTCTTTTGTCAGATACGACAACGGTTTCTTCAGCTGCGGCTACTTCGACCTCAGCTTCGTTATTCAAGGTCCCTACTGCAGGTGTTGTGACAAGCAGAGGGACAATAACTACCACTACTGCCCAGAGCCTTATCGCCCCAACCCTTGGTTTGGGAGATCCTCGAAGGACCACAAGTGATCAGCAGGTCCCTTCATCAAGTGTTTCTAGTTCCAATCCCGTAATGCACGGCAGTGGCACTGCTACGCAATCCCAAAGTTCTACTTTGCGTGCGTTACTGTCCCAACAGCGACCAGGAGTTGATTTGTGTTCTAAACCGTCAGGTACACCCGGGCTGTCTACGGCATTGACAGGTGAAGGAATAAAAATTCCTACTTCACAACAGGGAAAGGCTGCTCCCACAAGCTCATCAATTGCTCCTGTCCAGTCACAAGCAAACCCAGCGCAAAGTTCGACTGTTACAACAGGACCAGTTTCCTCAGGATTCCAGCTTTCGTCATTTCCCTCATCTGGGGCGTCGCCCTTCGCTAAGCCGGCAACAACTAACCCACCAACTTTGAACACAAATAATACTTCTTCCCAAAAAGCTGGGTTTAGTTTCTCCACAGTTTCTTCGTCGAGCGTATCTGGGATGCCGCCGTCCAACGCTTCAACCAATGGGCAATCACGGTTCAATTCTTCAGCTTCAAATAGTACAAAGATTGTCTTTGGTGAGAAGTCAACACAAAATACTCAGGTTACGACCTCTGTGAATTCTTCAAGTACTTTCTTTTTAGGACAAAATACTTCCCAAACTTCTGGGTCGTTGGCAAGTGGCAATGTAGCTGCTTCATTGCAAAGTCCGTTTGGAAAACGAACCGAAACTACGCAAAATAGCTCTACTCTAACTGCGATTCCATCGACAAATGTATTTGGGCAGAGTGCCACGGCGCCTCAGAATTCCCTTGCATCAACAACCCAAAACAAAGGCACGTTTGGTGTAAGTAACATGCAACCTGTAACAGGACAACAAGGTCAAACTTCGTTTGGTTCTGCCTTCGGTGCGAATGGCTTTGGGGGCAAGCCTTCACAAAACACTCCTCAAACTTCAGGTTTCACACAAAGTCCGTTTACCCAGAACACATTTGGCCAGAATGCTTCCCAGAGTGCGTTTGGAGCGAATCCTACCCATGGTGCCTTTGGAGTGCAACAGCAAAACCAGCCAGCTTCTTCAAATACGTTTGGAGCGCAAAACGCGAACAGTTCTCTAAACGCAAGTCAAAAGACTCCTCAAAGTGGTTTGGGTGCTCAGCATTTGCAAAATACTTTTGGTTCACAGCAGAAAACAACACAAAATATTTTCGGAAACCAGGCGAATCAAAATGTATTTGGACCGAATCCAAATCAAAGTAGTGCCCAAAATGCTTTTGGTACCCAATCGACACAGTTTAACTTTGGAACTCAGCCAAACCAAAAAACTACCCAAGGTGCTTTTGGACAAGCTCCTAGCCAGAAATCATCTCCGTTCACTTTTGCTGCAAATACGTCGCAAAACGCTTCCAAGTCCCCTTTCAATGGGTTTGGAAACAGTGCCGGTGCCCAGAACACCTTTGGAGCAGCGCCTTCCCAGAATGCTGCGGCTTCTAGTGGATTTAGTTTCAATGCAAATGCGACGGCAAATAACCCAACACCCGGGGGTTTTAATTTCAGTGGCGCTGCGAACAAAACAGGAGGATTTCAATTTGGTAAGATCTGGGAATAGTGGAAAATTTTATCAATGCTAACATGTGAGCAAATGCGTTGCTACCCCTCCCCCAACCCAAAATAATCAGCTGATAACAAGTTAGGGTTATTGTTGTGTTAGGGGAGGGGCAGGTGCGCAGTTTCTCATTCAGAGAATGATTGTGCTTTTGTTAGTTAGTTTCCTTATGTTCTTTTTTTTAAGCGAAACTCTGTCAAAAGTTGGCATGGTTTTAAAGACGTTTCCTTTCATTGTCTGGTCATCTGCTCTTAAACCTTCTCTTCGTCTTCTGAATTTCCATAACTTCGAATGCAATTTCACTTACCCTGTTTCACTGAATTTTCATTGCCTTTTTTTTTTCCAGGCTCTTCAGCGGGTAACAGTAGCTTCGGGCAGTTTGGCCAAGCAACAGCTCCACCTGCGGGTAAGTATATCAGGACTTCCGGGGTTCCCACCCTTTGATTTTTCACAGCCGGCAGAGCCCCAGATGAAGCTACGGGGGTTTGGGGAAAAGTACCTTACCCCCCTCCCCCTCACCCTCCCCACTTCAGTTCATGCCAGTAATTTCCTCCCCCTTGATTGCATGGAGAAAGGAGTTTTATATTAAGTAGTAGAAAGTCGCATTGTAATTTTAACCCCTAATTTTCTGAGCTCCATTAAAATTCGCAGTCGTGTAGAAATCTATTGTAATTTTTTCACCATCCTTTTTTTTTCATAGCTGTGCCCGCGACACCTGCGCCCAGTGGGGGTTTCAACTTCGCCCCAGGTGGTGCGTCGGGAAGTCGTTTTGCCGCACCCACACCTGCACCAGCATTTGGGGCGCCGAGCACTCCGCAAGGGGCAGGCAGCAACTTGACGGCAAGATCAAGGGTTCGCACAGCGGCCCGGAGAAGGGGGAAGAAATAACCGCTTGCGGAAAATTGAAAAATTGGCGCTGAAGAGATGATCATGAATACATGGGCATTAAGGCTCACTGTACACGTTTCGAAGGTGAGAGTGATTCACTGAAATGGTCGGAAAGTCATTATGTAATGCTGCTTTCCTGAAAAAGAAGGATGTTACCGTGCTTCTCAGGTTAATTGGAGGGTGTAGAGTTTGCGTATCACAATCAGGGTGAATCCACTGGGAGAAGAACTGGAATCTATGAAAGTGGTAACGAACGACTTTGCAAGCGTTACGTTTTGCTGTTAAACATACCATAATCCATTTTTCGTGGCGACGCTGGCTGTTGTAAAGAAAAGCGACTCGCAAATGGCATATATAATCTCTCTGTTTTAATTGGACGAAAGAAACTCGGCCATATTGATTTACCCAATGATAGATGTATATAGAGATTGCAGAAGTAGTGTTAGCTGTTCAAATTGATATTTTGGATCAATAAATGAATTTTTACTTGCATGTTTTCCTTTTGCTCCTTTAAAATCACGTAGTTGTCTAGTTCGAATAAGATTTACCATAAACACGTATCTGTGTATGCAGAAATAAAATTTAAATGTAGGTAAATCAAGTGTGCATCCTCATTCACTTTGCTCTGACGCAGGGCTAACACTGGAAACTTCAGCTCTATAATCTACTACGGTGCCCAAGATACATTATAAACTCAGTTGATAATAGTTATTTTCCCGCCTTGCTCCAACTGGATGTTTTGAATAGTCTCGTTCGTAGCTTGCCTGTTCTGGAGGTTCAGTATAGAAAAACCAAGCGCCTTAGAAGCGGAAGAGGGCTACTATTGCGCCGTTTATTATTTCGCTTCGTTTTACCAATTGAACACACGGAGCAGGCTGTATTACAGCAATTGATTGAAAAGCACCCAAAGGTAATCGGTAGCAGTGCGAAAGTTTATTTCACTTATATTTTCAACTTTTTTCCGTTTGAATTCAATTGTAACTCCTCAGTGTTTTGGTTCATCTTTACTTTTCCCAGCCTCTTTGTTTTCCTCGTCTTTGATTTCTTGTTTGGGAGCGTCGACGTCATCTTCAATCAACTCATACAATTCCTCTTTGAAGGTGAATACCACTGAGGATAGAAAGGAATCATGTAAACTGAAGGTTAGGTGACAAGGACTTGAGAAGTTTTGGATAACTCTCTCACTCGCATCGGTCTAACAATCAGGGTAACTTAGCAAAAGTCTTTCACAGATTGCGGCCATTTTTTCTAGGTAGCCGCCATCTTAAATACTGGCCGAGAAAGCTCCGGGGACGAGTTTAAAGAGTAGCCTCACAACAACTCATATCTCTGGATTGGCCATTGGCAAGGAAAATCAGTAAAGGATGAAATTTCAATTTGTGTGAAATTGTTGAAGAAATTTGAAATTTTAATGGATAGTTTACCCCAATAGTTCTCTTCGGCAAATGTCGCTGATAATTTTTCTGTGTTTGTTCCGCTGGCTTGAGGGGAATTATCAGCAACACATATATAGTTGCGAATGTCTACTACAATCCAAGCTTTATAAAAATCATCACTCAATACTTACTGACAATGACCCTTAAAACTCTCCACAACCGAAGAACTATGATGAAAGCAAAGCCTTTCCATGCCTTCTTTGCACGGATGACGCTGAAGAAAAAAACAACAAACATCGAAAAATAAAATAAATAAAGAATTAATTAACGAAAAAGGGAACAGGCTCTTTTAAATTTCACAGAAAAGATTGGAAGGAGAAAAGTGAACGAGAAAAAATTGTACATTTGAACAATACTGTTGATCACGGATCAACCAAAATTTTGGTTAAATTCCGGATTTAAACAGGCTCCACTCAAAAGCAATTATTTTGCACTATGGAGAATTTCACGTTGACGGGGTTCCGGATTATAATGAAACTTGTGTAGGGTCAAAGCCCCCCCTCCCCCTCCTCCCCCCTCTCCTTCGAAAAGAAAAAGATTGTGCAGATCAAAGTTATTCACTCCTTTGAGGAGAATGGACGCTGGACAGATTCACTTATTAAACATACCGCACACAGGATTTGAATACTCGTATTTGCACACACTCACCTTAACACTATTTCGATTACAAACGCCGATACCACGATAAATGCATCAAATAACTGTAGACAAGAAAATGAGGTTTAAAATGAGCTAAAGTGTATGTTTAAATCGCTGAAGAGAACAGCTTTTGCTGAGGTCTAAACACAGTAGTTGTTAAAGGGATTTTCTCACCTCCAGTTTCTCTTTCATAAAGTACTCACATCCCATTGCATAAAACTTGAGAAAAACCTACAGAAATGAGCAAATGCGAAGAATGGAGGTCACTCTTTATCAATGCGTTAATTGATTATCGCTATGTTGGAGATCAGAAGCACACCTCCAAGTATACTTCTCCTGAGATTCAAATTTGTGAATTCAACCAGTGATACAGAGTTGTAAATTCTTAACTCTCAGTGACCGGCTTAAAAATCGCTCGCTACTCTGCTATCTTTAGCCGATAATTTTTTTACCTCGTTGGTCGCTAGAACTGCAAGTGGAAACTCGTACAATTATTGAAATACCATCGAGCAGCAGTCAATTCCCAGTTTTAAGCAAAATTGAATGCATAATTTGCCAGGAACAGGGTTAGATGTGTGAGTCGATCCCAAGTTCAGAATTGGCTCGAAGGTTTGTTGGATCTTCGTGACGCGCTTGAGACATATTAAACAAGTAATTTCCAGTCTTGTGCGTAATCTGACGAAACAACAAGGTGTCCACGATACCCTAGATGCCTATTATTTCTTATTTCTACTTTTAAACTCAAAAACAACTCTGCTGAGGCTTACCTCAAACACGAAGATGGCGAGGATGGACAAGCCAACAAAATGAAGCAGATACCGGGACACGTGAGTTTCGTCTAAAGAAGGAACAGAGCCTCTTATTTTCTGTATCGTCTATCCGTCAGTGTGGATGTCATGCCGATCTTAGGGATTGCCCTCGAATACCCCTGGGATTAATTACGTCTTTAGTAACATGGGAATGTCCCGGTTGAATCCCCTTCGACCTAAGCTTCGTGCGAAATCGTAAGTACGCTGAGACTCTCAATGGAAACGAAGGAACCTAGAATTTTATCCAGCTCCGTAGTTATACATTATTAAAATGATATCTCCAATAATTTTTGGATCAATATCAATATCTGGGCAACTGCCCACCTATCCCTCCCTAACCCAACATTAACCTTAACTTGTTGTCAAGTGACTGTTGTTGAGTTAGGGGAGGGGTAGGTGGGCAGTTGCCCAGATACTGATATTGATCCAATTTTTGTGTGTAAACTGATAAGCTCAGAAAGATAAAAAAATTTCTACAACTTTCCTAGGTCTCAGCAGAATGACTCACTGATCGAAATTAAACTATATAGTTTTCCTAAACGTGGTTAGTTTGTTAACTGCTCGAGTTAAGCTCGAATAAGACAGTTTACATGTAATTCTTGTAATTGGACTATGTTTTAAGAAGTCATTTTTGAGCGTCATTTTCTTCGACAGGCAAATTTTTTGGTAAAGAAAAACTTAGTTAGACTTAGTGTCGTCCAATGAATAAAGGGGGTTAGTTTCTGAAGAAATTGTGGTGCTGCTTCGGTGGGAGAGTAGAACAGGGGAATTAAGTATTATCGACTGATTTTATAACGTAAATTGATCACCGTAAAGAGTTTCAAGGCTGACGTTTCGAGAAGGCCTACGCTCGCTCTGACGAAGGGCTAACGCTCGAAACGTCAGCCTTGAAACTCTTTACAGTGGCTCATTCACGTTATCAACTCAGTTGATAATACTTAATTACTTTGTGTCGTCCAATTCTGTTCGTAATCATACGCGTGATTATAAATCAAGCCTCCGCCTTTGCTGTCGTTAAATCCCAAGCGAGGATATGATCCTTGCAGGTCGTCTGTTATTCTTCCCTTCATTTATGGATTCAAATAGGACTCCATACAGTCCTATTACGATCATAAATAGAACATTTATTACCTTTGATAACATTAAATTCCATCAGCATGAGGACGAGGTTGATGATCACTTCAATCAAGACCAGGACGACTATATTGACTTGCCACGTGACCCCTGTCAACATTTTAGCCAATGAGTGACGAAGGACACTTGAAAAGGGACAACAAGTAAAAATGAAAAGCGCATTCATTTTAGAATCTAAGTGCTAAACACGACGCACTTAACTTTAAAGATATAGTTTTGATTTGCAGCATGCCTTTATTACATGAAAGACATAAAAAGGAGGCTCATTGTTGACAGTACTCAGGCTACAGAATTTCTCTTGTTGAACCGTGACATA